CAGAAACAAAATAATTTTAAAAAGTAAAAATTCTGAAAGCATTGAAGGAGATCCCATAATAATTCAATATAGATTTACAGTAGTAACAACAAATTATATTTTATTATATGATATGATTAATATAAATACGATGGTTTCATTCTAAACATGGTGATTATCTCTAAGGTGGACACCCAGAAATTACCCTCAAAAGAATATATATTTTAAAATACAGAAACAAAATTTTAAAAAGTAAAAATTCTGAAAGCATTGAAGGAGATCCCATAATAATTAAATATAGATTTACAGTAGTAACAACAAATTATATTTTATTATATGATATGATTAATATAAATACGATGGTTTCATTCTAAACATGGTGATTATCTCTAAGGTGGACACCCAGCATAATATATGATATTTACCATCTGAATCTAACCATGTCAACAAATGGAAAAGTCAGCCATCTATTAATTATCATGTTAATTACTGTGCCTTTAGCCCCAACAGCAGGGGCGCTTTTTACCCCAAATACCATACTTTTACATATTCTTTCGTTATTTAAAAACTGTTGCTTTAATTATCTTAAACAAAACTGAAAATCGTTAAGAAGACCTTTGTCTCAAAATATATGCGATTCTCATTTGCTACTTAAATCTACAACATTTTTAAAAACATCAAACATTAGATCAAGTAAGCACAGAATTAACTTTGCGCTGCTGCGTGTGATCGCGTCGATGATCAGACAAATATACACGTGCATCTTGAAAAGCGGATGTTTTGGAAAGTGCTACGACACATTTTTGTGCCATCTACTGGTTTAGAGGAAAATAATATCAAAGGAGCCTTTAGCCCCGTTGTACCCTACTCTAAATAAGAAACTAAAACTGCCAGCAGGTGGCGGTAAATGTCTTTGAGTCATTCATTCATTTGATTCATTCAAACAGCTGATTCATTCAGGAATTCAGTAAACGGCTCACTTTATGAATGGGGCTTTGAATCATTGATTCACACGATTCGTTCAAAAACGATTCATTCAGAAACTAAACACCGCTGTGTTGTTCACCAATGCACAACAATTCTGCTGTGGCTTTAAAGGTAATATTTTTGTTGGCAAAAACAGACAATATTGTTTAAAATATTAACTTCTTATTTACTGAACTGTTGTCTAAAATCACATTTGCAGTCGTTATATTCGGGACAAACAGCACTCGTGTGATATTGCTCTCGTTCATTTGATATCGCTTGTCATATAAATATGAGACGGAAGCTCATACAGGGACATTTTTTTTTGCCCCAGTATCTTGAATTTTAGGGCATAACTGCATTTATGGAGTTGTTGTCCTGCATATTTGTCAACAGTCAACTGTATGAAATGTAAGATGATGTACAGGTCTGGGGGCGGGGCCAGTGCGATAACTGCGTTACAATATTTTAAACTGACAGCCCTACAAATATATATTTTGTATAAGTATATATTTTAAATGTTTACCTCTATTTTCTCATACAATTTTGGCCATTTAATGTAAATGTATTTATATTGTCCAAAATATATTTTAAAAATAAATCTTTTTTTTTTTTAAATTTACCTACATTTTACTTATAAATGTATGTATAAAATTTATTTTATATTTATTATATATTTATTAAATTATATATTTATATTAACTTAATTTAAAATGTATATTATTCTTTATTTATATTATTATTATATTGTGTTTTAAATATAATTACACAATATAATAATAATATAAATACACAATATATTATTATTATTATTATATTGTGTATTTATATTAAAATTGTATATTTAATTTTTGATATATATATATATATATATATATAGTAATGTTGTCAATCGATTAAAACAATAATTAATCGCACTTTTTTTCTGAAATTAATTGCGATTAATCCCACCTAACATTAAAGTTTTTAAATATACTTTTAGTTTGCAATAATTTCACATTCAATCTTCAAATGAATGTACAAACAACATAAAGATAGTATATTTTAATATTTGTTTAGTATCCAGTATCAAGGCCAGTATCACTGATACCAATATTACTGATATCTCTATAAAATAGTTTTTCCCTTAATATTTAACCATTGACTGCAGCCATTCAACATTACAGTATAATTGAGAGCTATCAATTTTAACATTTATTAGACTTTAAAAAATATTAACTTCTAATTTAAGTGAACTTAAAGCAATCTTCACATAAACCCATTATAATAAATATCATATTTACCTGTGCCCTTCAGCAGAAATATACAGAAATTGAAGTTATCAAACACTAAATTCTAAATTAAATAATATAGATGAATCCTTAAAGCTATAAAAGTTGTTGATTTGCTCTTTTTTTTTCTTTGTCCTTTAATGAACAGACAGCAGCTGGATATTAGGTTGTTTAGGCTGCTATTACTTTAAGAGCTGCCGCTGCTGAACGTGATGCAGATCTGACACGGTTTTGTCTCAACTGTATACAGTATATAGAATTACTTATTTTAATTTTTTGGCCATGTATATATGAATGCAATGTATTTTTAAAATATATTTTAGGATTGAAAATTAATTTTCATGCCCCTACATGTGTGTGAGGGTTTAAACAAAATTTAAAAAGTATATTTAAAAATGTACCTTGTTATTTTCTGAAGCTGTTCACCACATATAGTTTGTCCAGAGGACAACTTTATTTGTCCCTTTATCCAGAGGTTTTTAATATTTTTGTCCGTATGGCTGAAGTTGTATTGTGTAAGTGTTGTTTGTGCAGGCGGTGGAGGGCACGGGTCTGGCGTTCATCGTGTACAGCGAGGCCATCAAGAACATGCCGCTGTCTCAGCTCTGGTCTGTGCTGTACTTCATCATGCTGCTGCTCTTAGGGATGGGGAGCATGCTGGGAAACGTCACGGCCATCATCACCCCGCTGGCAGACATCAAGCTCCTGTCACGCTCCCTCAGCAGCGAGAGCATCAACGGTACGAGAACCAGCTTCAAACGGCCCTAAACACGTCTCGTACTGCTCAGTAATACAGATCGAACTAGCTCAACTTCATATTTACATTTAGTCATTTAGCAGATGCTTTTATTCAAAGCGACTTACAAAAGAGGACAATAAAAGCAATCAAAATCAACAAAAGAGCAATAATATATAAGTGCAAATGACAAGTCTCGGTTAGCCTAACACAGTAATATATATATTATATTATACACACACACATATACACACCCACAACGAAAAACAAGTAGATAGAATAGAAAAAAATGGAAATATATGCTATCATATATATGTCTGAAATTTTTATTTTATTTTATTTTAACATGATTTATTTTCATTTTGCATTATTTATTATTTAATTCATGCATTTTACGTTATTAATTTCAGCAAGTGTTTTTTATTATAAAATTATTTTTACATTTTATATCAAAATTTATATGATTTAATTGATTTTCAGTAAGTGTTTTTGATTTTTAATTTAAACTTTGTGGATGTCTATTTTACATTTTACGATTTAATTGATTTTCAGTAAGTGTTTTAGATTGTTTTTATTATAATTTGTTTAACTAGTAATTAAATTTTTTTAGGATTTAATATATTTTTTTGTTAGTGTTTTTGATTGTTCTTATTATAATATGACTTTTTTATGATTTGATTTTTAGTAAGTGTGTGATTTTTCATTTGACATTTTTAGGATTTAATATATTTTTAGTAAGTGTTTCTGATAAAAAAAAAAATTTTAACGTTTAAAAAAAAATGATTTAACATTTTTATGATTTAATTTATTTTTGGTGTTCTTGATTGATTTTATTTAAAAATATATCTGTTTTAATTTTTTATTTTCTAAAGTAATTTTTAATTAGTTTTTTTTTTATCTTTTTTTTTAAATTTTGTATTGTATTAGTTTTTTTTTTTTTTGTATTAAATTAGTTTTTTTGATTATTTGTTGTGAAAGGAGTAAATATTGCTTAACAAGATTCCTTTAATTTCCATGCATATGTTTGCACCTCAGTTGCTAAATTGTATTAGCCTGCATCACAAAAAATATTCTTGATGTTGCTTAATTCTATATTTATGTTTATCTTATAGGGCCAGTGTAGAATAACAGTACTGCACAGTTTTGCTCAGCAGATGCTCTTTATGTTTGTTTCTTGCTTGAGTTTGTGTGTTTTCTGAGCGCTCCTCTCAGATCTGGTCTGGTCTGTGATGCTGGTTTTCCTCTGGTCTCTGGCAGGTCTGGTTTGTCTTCTCTGTTTGCTGCTGGGTTTCGGTTTCACCAGCCGCTCTGGAAACTACTGGTTCACCATCTTCAATGAATACGCGGCTACGCTGTCGCTGCTCTTCATCGTCTTCCTCGAAGTCATCAGTGTGTGTTACGTCTACGGACTGAGAAGGTGAGCAATTCAAAAACACTTCACGCACAGGAGGAACAAATTAGTGTGCAAAACTAGTGTTTTTTTTTTAAATGTTTATACTGATCACATTTCATCATACTGAGGGAAATGTTTGTTAATAGACAAAAATATTAAACCAGTTAATATAATAATGAAGAACTGTTAGCAGGACAATGTCTGAGGACAATGAAAGCAATCAGAATCAACAAAAGAGCAACGATACACAAGCGCTATAACAAGTCTCAGTTAGCTTAACGCGGTACACATAGCAAGGTTCTTTTTTAAATGATATAATAAATAAAAAGAAAACAGATAGAATAGAAAAAGAATAGAGCAAGCTAGTGTTAGAGGCCTTTTTGTTAATTGTATAATAAATAAAAAGAAAACAAAAAGATTAGAGAAGCTAGTGTTAGTTTAAAGAAAACAAGCAGTTAGTAAATGAATAGAGTGCAAGTCTAAAAGGGGCAAGTTAAAAAAAAATAAAGAATAGAATTAGAATAGAGAGTGCTGGAGTTAGAGGGTCAAATAAAGATGGAAGAGATGCATTTTTAGTCGTTTCTTGAAGATAGCTAAGTACTGTAATAATAATAAAAATTATTTTATTTAAAAATATTTTTTTTTAATTTGATTTTGTACTTTTTAATTTTTTTTATTTTAGAAAGGATCATTTTTTTAAAATTCAAAAATGTATTTATTTTGTTTTATTTTGTACACATTTTTAATTTTACTTACAAAAATATATTATTTCATATTATTTTATTCAAATGTAAAAAAATTAATAAATAAAAGTCTTGTTAAACTAGAAATGGAAAGAATCCCTCCGTAGCTCAGATGTTGATGTCTCGGGTGATGTAGATGCTGGGTGTCGCAGATGTTTGTGCTGATTCGTGGTTGCTCGTGACTGACAGGTTTGAGAGGGACATCGAGGACATGTTGGGTCATCGGCCGAACTGGTATTGGAAGGTGATGTGGGCCGTCGTGAGTCCTCTGCTCCTCTTCAGTCTCTTCATCTTCTACATCATTAACTACATCCAGGGCGGCACGCCCACCTACCAGGCCTGGGACAAAGATCTGGTACGATCCGGCTTCTCTAACATCACCGTTTACTAAACTCAGCTTCATCAGCAACTGGTGGCTTGTGAGGAAAATGGCAAGGGATTTGTGAGTTGATGGAAAGCTAATATTCAATTAAATCATGCATATGTCAAATCTAAATACAGCACTTGAATCAAATAAAAATGTAAAACGAAAATAGTTTTTAAAATGAAAAAGCACTTAAAATGTATTTAAAAATGTAAAATGAAAATAAATCATTTTAAAACAGAACTTACTAAACATTAAGTAAATAAAAAATGTAAATGAAAACAAATGAATAAACGAAACTACTAAACATGAATTAAATATTAAAAATGTAAAAAGGACAATAAATCATTAAAAAAATTTAAATAATCAAAAACACTTACTAAACATTTATACAATTTAAAAAATGTAAAATTAAAACAAATAATTAAAAAATAAAATTGGTCAAAATGAAAAATTATTAACATTAATGTAAAATGAAAATAAATACATGTGAAATAAAAGCAATCAAAAGAAAACACATTTACTAAAACTGAATTAAATCATAAAAATGTCAAATGGAAATTATTTTAAAATAAAATCCATTAAAACACGTACTAAAAATTAAATCAAAAAATTTAAAAAGAAAATAAATAATTGTAAAATGAAAACAAATCAGTCTAAATAAAGCACGTACAATAGTTAATTAAAAATATAATTAAATTAAATTTAAAATAAAACAATTACTAAAAATTAAATTTTAAAAAGTAAATTATTTAAAATTAAGACAACAAAAACGACCGAAACAATGAAATCTTAAAAATGTGTAAACAAATGTAATAAAAAATACTAAACATTAAATAAAAATCTAAATGAAAATAAGTAATTTATTTTTTAAAAATCTTCTGATAATAAATTAAATAAAAATGTAAATATAAAAAAAAAAAGTTCAATTATTGGAATATTAACAATGTAGAGGGACTCTCTTCTTGAAGTCTTCATGAGATTTATTGTCTATAAACATGCTTCATAATTTCTGTTTATTTTATATTGCTGGTGAAGTGCTCGAGGGTCTGGTGTGATATGATGTGTGTGTGTGTGTGTGAGTGTGTGTGTGTGTGTGTGTGTGTGTGTGAGAGTGTGTGTGTGTGTGAGAGTGTGCGCATGTGTGTGAGTGCGCGTGTGCGAGAGAGTGTGAGTGCGCGTGTGTGAGAGAGAGAGTGCGTGTGTGTGAGAGAGTGTGTGAGTGCGTGTGTGTGAGAGAGAGAGTGTGTGTGTGTGAGAGAGTGTGTGAGTGCGTGAGAGAGTGTGAGTGCGTGTGTGTGAGAGAGAGAGAGTGTGTGTGTGTGAGTGTGTGAGAGAGAGTGTGAGTGTGTGTGTGTGTGTGTGAGAGAGAGAGTGTGTGTGTGTGTGTGTGAGAGAGTGTGTGAGTGCGTGAGAGTGAGTGTGAGTGCGTGTTCGAGAACCTGAAATTAAAACCTGTAATTTTTAACATTGTGGGGTCCGGCCTGTGGTCCCCACGAGGGAAAAATGATTAAAAATAGTAAATGATGTTTATCTGAAAGTGTAAGAATGCAAACAGGTTTTCTGTAAGAGGTAGGTTTATGGTTAGGGGATAGAAAATATTGTTTGGTCAGTATAAAAGTAATAGAAGTCTATGGAAAGTCCCGACAATTCACAGAAACAAGTGTGTGTGTGTGTGTGTGTGTGTGTGGCTCAGGGTCGGTCGGTGGTGAAGGAGTACCCGGTGTACGGTCAGGTTTTCATCGCTCTGCTGCTGCTGTCAGCGCTCAGCTGTGTGCCGCTCGCCGCTCTTCACGCCGTCTGCAGGAGAAAGCAGCGAGGAACGGCGATCCGTGAGCACCGGCACGCCTGACGCTCAGACCCATGCAAACACACACGCATTATGAATACTTTGTCTTTGGTCAGAAAGCAAGCTATTGGGACTCTTTCTATATTTCCTTCAGAAAACATGACTGATGAAACAGGATCAGATTCATGATTAAGGATGATCAGAAAAGGGCTTTTTCCCATAACATTTTACTTAAAGCATTTATGTATAATGCATTATAATTCAATTTCATAATGCATAATATCTTTTCATAAATAACTGCAACCAAATTTAAAATGCATTATAATATTTGAAGATTTCTTTGTCGTGTTTTAGTGCATTATTCTTCCTAAGGTGTATGAATAGAAAAATATGATAATGTATTATTCATGAGATCATGCATTATGGGTGCATTGCAATGCAAGGCATAATTCATGCATCAAACTACTTTTATAATGCATTACATATAATGGCTTTATGTAAAGAATAAAAGTATTTATACATTACCGTTATACATCCAAACACTGAATATCTGGGCTGTGAAGAGCATTTGGCACGACTGATTGAGAATTTAAAACTGTGTAAAGTTTTTACTGCGGTTCATGTGATATTTTAGAAGAAAATGAATTTTGTATATTTGTCAAGTCATAATCTTTTAGATGTCTGTGAAATGAACAATGACTGTGATGTTTGACAGGTATCATATGATCATCAGACTCAATGTTTTATTTTAATGTAGAACTTGTGTATTTGATGTAATTATATACACACAGCATACGGATATATTCAGAGGAATTTCAGTGAATTTTGGATAATAATCTGTAAAGTACTGTATTTTATGCCAAAACAAAAGTCATATGTCTTGAGGTCCTGATGAATTCTTGTGTCTTAGGTCTTTGTCAATATCTTGTTTGAAATCACAAAAACTTTGATTACCTTTTTTTTATTTTTTAATAAAAGTTGTCCTACGACAGACAACACAACACTTCAAATGTTGACCACTGTATTTAGAGTTTCAACATTTCATACACCGTTTAGTCTGGAGTTTATTATAATAAATCATACATTTTTTGTGCTCGATTTCTCCGTTATATTGGATATTTTGCAGCCTTTCTCTTCTTGGACAAAGCTTCATGAAAGCAATTTTTCAAACCATTCATCTTGAAAATAACATGCATGGAAACTATACTTCAAGTTCATTAAACAAAGGATGTAAAGCAAAAATAAGTTAGTTTAAATACATTTCTAGAGTCATAACTGTGTGGGAATCTTTAAACAAATGCATTTTCATATTTGTTTTATACTGTTTTGTAATCATTAAGAGAGAGAGAGTGTGTGTGTGTGTGTGTGAGAGAGTGTGTGAGTGCGTGAGAGTGAGTGTGAGTGCGTGTTCGAGAACCTGAAATTAAAACCTGTAATTTTTAACATTGTGGGGTCCGGCCTGTGGTCCCCACGAGGGAAAAATGATTAAAAATAGTAAATGATGTTTATCTGAAAGTGTAAGAATGCAAACAGGTTTTCTGTAAGAGGTAGGTTTATGGTTAGGGGATAGAAAATATTGTTTGGTCAGTATAAAAGTAATAGAAGTCTATGGAAAGTCCCGACAATTCACAGAAACAAGTGTGTGTGTGTGTGTGTGTGTGTGTGGCTCAGGGTCGGTCGGTGGTGAAGGAGTACCCGGTGTACGGTCAGGTTTTCATCGCTCTGCTGCTGCTGTCAGCGCTCAGCTGTGTGCCGCTCGCCGCTCTTCACGCCGTCTGCAGGAGAAAGCAGCGAGGAACGGCGATCCGTGAGCACCGGCACGCCTGACGCTCAGACCCATGCAAACACACACGCATTATGAATACTTTGTCTTTGGTCAGAAAGCAAGCTATTGGGACTCTTTCTATATTTCCTTCAGAAAACATGACTGATGAAACAGGATCAGATTCATGATTAAGGATGATCAGAAAAGGGCTTTTTCCCATAACATTTTACTTAAAGCATTTATGTATAATGCATTATAATTCAATTTCATAATGCATAATATCTTTTCATAAATAACTGCAACCAAATTTAAAATGCATTATAATATTTGAAGATTTCTTTGTCGTGTTTTAGTGCATTATTCTTCCTAAGGTGTATGAATAGAAAAATATGATAATGTATTATTCATGAGATCATGCATTATGGGTGCATTGCAATGCAAGGCATAATTCATGCATCAAACTACTTTTATAATGCATTACATATAATGGCTTTATGTAAAGAATAAAAGTATTTATACATTACCGTTATACATCCAAACACTGAATATCTGGGCTGTGAAGAGCATTTGGCACGACTGATTGAGAATTTAAAACTGTGTAAAGTTTTTACTGCGGTTCATGTGATATTTTAGAAGAAAATGAATTTTGTATATTTGTCAAGTCATAATCTTTTAGATGTCTGTGAAATGAACAATGACTGTGATGTTTGACAGGTATCATATGATCATCAGACTCAATGTTTTATTTTAATGTAGAACTTGTGTATTTGATGTAATTATATACACACAGCATACGGATATATTCAGAGGAATTTCAGTGAATTTTGGATAATAATCTGTAAAGTACTGTATTTTATGCCAAAACAAAAGTCATATGTCTTGAGGTCCTGATGAATTCTTGTGTCTTAGGTCTTTGTCAATATCTTGTTTGAAATCACAAAAACTTTGATTACCTTTTTTTTATTTTTTAATAAAAGTTGTCCTACGACAGACAACACAACACTTCAAATGTTGACCACTGTATTTAGAGTTTCAACATTTCATACACCGTTTAGTCTGGAGTTTATTATAATAAATCATACATTTTTTGTGCTCGATTTCTCCGTTATATTGGATATTTTGCAGCCTTTCTCTTCTTGGACAAAGCTTCATGAAAGCAATTTTTCAAACCATTCATCTTGAAAATAACATGCATGGAAACTATACTTCAAGTTCATTAAACAAAGGATGTAAAGCAAAAATAAGTTAGTTTAAATACATTTCTAGAGTCATAACTGTGTGGGAATCTTTAAACAAATGCATTTTCATATTTGTTTTATACTGTTTTGTAATCATTAATGCCTGCTACGCTTCAAAGTCAACATGAATCAGAAAGAGTTTTTTTTTACATTTTGTATTCATTATTTTCCTTTATTCTGACTTAAAATTCAGTGTATTTCTCAAACAAAACGCATACATGACTTCAGGAGACTTGGACTGTAGAATCTCCAATCATATGACTGAATTAAAAAGTAATCCTGCTGTTACTGATGGTTTACGAGGCTGATTTTTGACTGACAGATGTGTTTGTTTTATAGCGCAGCATAAACTCTCATTTGTGTCATGCAGGTTTGGAACGACTTGTGTAAATAATTTTTATGGACGCTTATTTCCGGCACAGCACAAACAAATAAAATGCGAATTGTGACTTTTTATCTCACAAGTTAATGAACCTAATCAAATAAAATAAACATTTTGCGACAGTCAGAATTGCAAGCTATGAATTTAGTTTCTCAATTTATATACATTTGTGTCATGCAGGTTTGGAACGACTTGTGTAAATAATTTTTATGGACGCTTATTTCCGGCACAACACAAACAAATAAAATGCGAATTGTGACCTTTTTATCTCACAAGTTAATGAACCTAATCAAATAAAATAAACATTTTGCGACAGTCAGAATTGCAAGCTATGAATTTAGTTTCTCAATTTATATCTAAATTCATAGCTTGCAATTCTGCCTTTCGCAAAATGTTAATTTTATTAGTTTTATTAAATTGTGAGATCACAATTCACATTTTATTTGTTTGTGCTGTGCCAGAAATAAGCTTCCATAAAAATTATTTACACAAGTCGGTCCAAACCTCAAATAATCAATATTAAATGTTAAATAATCAAAAAAATTAAAATGTGAAATTGAATTCAATGTAAAATTAAAGACATTTTCAAATAACATTCTATACATTTAATGAAAGTGCAATAAAATCTAAATATTAAAACGTAAGAAAATGCTAAAAAAAAAAACTAAAACACTTATAAATGTAAAAAATCTTTTTAGCAATAATTAAAAATTTTTTTGTAGTTTATCTGCCTGTCATATGACCATTAACATATCAGAATTCTGATATAAACTCAGTTGCAAGAAAAAAAAATTCTGATTAGACCTGCCTTTATTTTTTATTCCATGGCAGAAACAAAAACAGAACTTGCAACGTTAACAAATGCAATTCTGAGGAAATGTCTGAATTGTCACTTTAACCTTTCTTTTATTCAGTGGCAGAAACAAGCTTCAATGTAATAGTAATTAGTAGGTGAACGGTTTTAATGCATTCGCCGCTCGTTGCTTTCACGTGGAGTACAAGCTCTTAAGTGGACGATCTCCTGCAGTCACACTGCGGCTCTGCTGATCCGTTCTGGCATTTTCAGCCTGTTATTTCCATTCAATTTGAGCTCAATGCAGGTTCAAAGCAAACATGTTATGAAATTTCAGTCAGGAATGTCATGCAAACACGTTCCAGTCAATGCAACTGACCTGCTTCAACAACACAGTCATTTTATAATGTAGTTTTGCACCATTTCTAGAACATTTTGTGCTCTTTGTCACTTAAGACTGAAACTGACCAACACGCATGTCATAACTTTAATAACAATAATAGACATTATTTTTACATTCTCCGATAAGCAGTGAGACACAGAGGAATCAAATGAAGAGCATCGCAAACATAAGGCATCATTTGTTCGTCCGTCCGTCAGAAGCAGCGAAACACTCGCAAATCAGAGGAAACAGAGATGGCACGCGGAAAATCCTTTAGACAATGAGACGCTGGTCCCAAGTAAAGATTCATATGAATCAGTCTGGATTCCGAACAGATTCGATTCATTCCCAGCAGACCAAATCTCTCAGAATCAGTTTGTTTATAAAAGTTCCAAATCCCAGACTGAGGAAGACCATGATAGTGAAAAGGAGGATAAAACGAGTCCATGTAACCACATGTGTATGCTGTCCATCTCAAATTCACTACTAAACGCTGTGACCTGCAGCTGCCGCAACACAAAATCAGAGGTTTGTCTCGTTTTCTAATAAAAAACAATTACATTTATATATAAGCAGAATTGAAGATATTAAGATTATTTTGTAATGTTTATTTTTCCTTGTTTTAAACGAACATCTTAAAAAAAATGTTTTAGTGTAACATTTGCTGAAAACAAAACTTCCTGTCTTAGTAACACTTTATAAGATTCAATTTGTTCACATTAACATTTCATCAACTAAAAATGATATTTATAGCATTTGTTTTTACACAGTGAAAATAATATAGATTTAAAATATTGATTTATATTCATTACTAATACATTAATGTTAATTTAAAAAATGTGCAAATGTATATATTAAAAATGTATATGCAGAAATTCATATTAAGCTTGATTAATAAATTCTGTAAAAGTATTGTAATTTGTAAGTTCATAGCTAATGCTAACATACAGAAGCTTAATGCAAAGAGTGACCTCACATGAACTAACATTAAGAAATATATATATTTTACTACAATTAATAATCTATGTTATGGAAGCTTGTTTCCGCCAAAGGATAAAAAAAATTTAAAAAGTAATTGTGACTTTTTCATCTCAGAATTTAGACTTTTTTTCAGAATTGTGAGATAAAAATGCAGAATTGCGGAAAAGGTATGAATTATAAGATATAAACTCGCAATTGCAAGAAAAAAGCAGAAAAAAAATAGAATTGCTAAATGTAAAAACTCAAAGATAAAAAAAACGTCCAAATTGTCGAACAAACTCAGAATTGCGGAGGAAAAATAGTCTGGATTGCCGGACATAAACTCAGAATTTTCGGATAAACTCAGAATTGCGGGAAAAGTCAGAATTGTCTGACAAACATCAAATAGCAAGAAAAAAGTAAACATTTTTGGATATAAACCCAGAATTGCAAAAAAAGTGAATTGCGAGACAAACTCAGAATTGAAAAATAAAAAAATCTGAACTCTCTGATATAAATTTGGAAATGCGAGGAAAAAAGTCTGACCTGTTGGAAACTCAAATTGAAAAAAATATATAATAATTAAGATATACTCTGAATTGTGAGATAAAAAGTCGAAATTATTTTTTTTATTCCGTAGTGGAAACGGGCTTCTGTACTTTGTCAATATTAGCTAATAAAAAAACAATTGTTGACTCTTTGTTCATATTAGTTGACAGTGCATTAACTACTGTTATCAGATGCAACTTTTACTTGAAATGTATTAGCAAATGTAGAAATTAACATTAAGATTTAAAAGTGAAGGATCCCAAAGATCCATGACTGCGCACACATAAGCAGCAACCACAGACCTGGCTAATCTGAATGTTGTCTATCAAATTTTACATTTGTAAACCGCAACACTCCTCCAATTCTTGTATTCTGTCTAAAATAAATACAGTGTCTGAATAGAAAATGGCTTGAGGTAGGAATAAAAGTATTAAGGCATTGACTGTAGGGATGAGCACCACTAAATATTTTCAGAAATAACGGTGGTATACCTGAACAACTAGTTGACTAGTCAGTCGTAAGGAAGCCTGTAATCTGGTTTCGACTGAGTGAAACTTACTGGAGCATAATAGAATGAAACCGAATGCAGGGATCTGGAGATCCCTTAAAATGGACTATAAAAAATATACATTTAAATATATTTACTATAGTGTGTGTGTGTGTGTGTGTGTGTGTATATATATATATATATATATATAGTGTGTTAAATATATACACATATATATAAATAAATATATACACATATATAGATAATATATATATATAGATAGATAGATAATATGTACTGTTGATAGTTAATATTAGCTAACTAATGTTAACAAATGAACCTTATTGAAAAGTGTTACTGCATTTTTATTTTAAACGTATTTTGTTTTGTGTACAAATTTTTTTTATTAGAAAACAAGATGATGATTCGCGAGCTACGACGCGTGTGCGATTCGACACGGAAACACGTCTTGAACCACGAGGCTCGGTCTGCACATGAACCTGGTTTCCAGCGCTGCGTCTGTGAAGCTGCCTGTGAGCCCATGGAATTATGGGATGTCTGTGAGATACGATCCTGGTGTGGAGAGCAGCGGAGCGTCCCGTCTGGCCCATGGCCTTCATCCTCCTCCTCTTCCTCCGGTGGTGCAGCATCAGTACAGGCTCCAGGCCCGGCGGAGCTGAGAGTAGGACAGCACTGAGGATGAGGAGGAGGATGAAGACTCGGCGGGACCAAGCTGCTTCCCACACACGCAGGTTCAGTCCATCTTCTCCTTCTGCACCAGTTTGGGTGCGTCGACGAAGTCCCGGCCGTTGAAGAGGATCACGCCGGCCGTCACCACACTCGCTGAGCCCCAGAACAACACATACGCTAGCGTCTCGGTCCAGGTGTCACCTGCGAAATACGAGAACCAGCTACGCTTTACATGCGTTTAAGACACTAGTAATACCATAAACACTAGTATTAACCCTGTAAAGCCCGACTTATGAAATAACAGCGAGAATTTTTTTGTTGTTGTTGTTGAGTGTCATATTTGATGCATCAGGCTTTTATGGCTCACATAGTCTGACATAGTGAGAATATAGAGGAAAAAACTTAATTTTATTCAAAGATTATGGAAAAAAAATATGGATTTGCTGCAGATGCTGATATTTATGTGTGACCGTGGACCATAACACCAGTCATAAGAGTCAATTTTCCAAAATTGAGAGTTATACATCATCTGAAAGCTGAATAAATCAGCTTTCCATTGATGTATGGTGTGTTAGGATCGGACAATATTTGGTCGAAAAACTATTTGAAAATCTGGAATCTAAGGGTGCAAAAAAAATCTAAATATTGAGAAAATCGTCTTTAAAGTTGTTCAAATTAGTGCTCATTTTGTCAGCTATTTTCATTTTAGTCTTAGTCCGGTGTTAAAATGTCCTTGTTAGTTTTTATCATATTTAGTCAACCTTATCCTATTTAGTTTCAGTCAAGTTTCAGTCATGGGAAAAAAGCTTGTCAACGAACATTTTTCATCATAGTCTTCATTAACGAAATTAACACTAGTCCAAATGAAGTTCTTAGCAATGCATATTACTAATCAAAAATTAAGTTTTGATATATTTACGGTAGGAAATTTACAAAATATCTTCATGGAACATGATCTTTACTTAATATCCTAATGATTTTTGGCATAAAAGAAAAAATTATAATTTTGACCCATACAATGTATTGTTGGCTATTGCTACAAATATCCCCCAGCGACTCAACACTGCTTTTGTGCTCCAGGCTCACATGTGATGAAATTCTGCTGCTTGTAATGTAAATCAATGAGATCTTTATAACAGTAGAGCATATATTAATACTAATCTGTGTCTTACCAGCCATCAGGAGACATATGATGCACATTGAGAAAGCAACCACCATGATGATCGGCAGCTGAAAAGGGAAAAAATGAATATCCAGTTATGACGTTAAAGAACATTACATTTAAAATATGCACAAATGAATTGTTCATATTAAGATCAATTACATTCATTTAGAAAACAGATGATATTTTATCTACATTTCATGTCAGCTTTAATACAAGATGTAGTATTTAAAAAAGCATGTTTAAATCCTTGCAAAACTCATGAAGTCTCAGTAATATTAATGCAATCAAATCATGTATATACAAGTCAGAAAAATAACAGTAAATCCTTATTACTGGCTTATTACTTTTATAAAGCAGCAGCAGCAGCAGCAGCATGATGAAAGAAATCAGTGCTCCATAAATACAGTTATGTTGTATTCTGCTGCTGAAAGAGTTGAAAACAAATGCCGAAGTCGTCTAAGACAAGAGTGTCAGTATGTTCAGGGACTTTAATCTGACCCTGCCTGCAAAGAAACTATGTTTTTCTGGGTTCACAGCTCAATCTGGTTCTCACCGTGAGGAACTTCCAGTCTTTGGGCTCATGTAGAGGAGTGTTCATATCTGCCTCTTCCACTGCATAGTTACCCAGAAACAGGTCAATGGAGTCCTGCATAAAGACATGAACCTCTATATCAGATCCTGCACTCTTCATCCACAGCAAAGAAATCAAACACCAAACACGTCTTCCTACTGCAGCGACTTCATCAGCCAGTTTAGTCCCTAGAAAAGGGTTTCCAAACTGGGGTTTGTGAGTAAAATAACAGATCAAAATCAAATAATTAATTAAGCATTAAAAAGGAAACTAAAAAAAAAAAAATGAGAGAGTGCAGAAAAAAAACATGAAAAAAAAAAAAAAGATATATATATACACACACACACACGAGTGTGATAAAATATAAAAATATTACTGCTGTCAAAAGATTAATCGCAAACAAAATAAAAGTTTTTGTTTGCATAATATATGTGTGTTCTGTGTATACTTATTATGTATATATAAACACACACACATAGTATATATTTTGAAAATATTTACATGTATATATTTATATTCATATAATTTATATTATAAATAAATATATTTAATATATAAACATAACCTATTTTTCTGAAATATATACATGCATGTGTGTTTATTTATATATACATAATAAATATACACAGTATACACACAGGACTTTGAGATTCTGTGATCACTGCATTTAACGCAAAATCAACCAAAGTCTGCATAATTTGGAGGAGCTTGCAATTTTTCTAAATTGCCACAGATTTCCCGCATAATTTGGGCCTAGACGCGTCATGTGATGTCATCGCAACAACATGCATTCAGTCGATGCCCACTTCGACACTGCCTTTGCTTCATCCCACTGTAAAGCGCGCATGCTCTCCAAAACACACACACCCTCTCACACAAACATACACACACACACTCTCTCCCTCTCGCTCAGACACACACACACACACACTCTCTCTCTCTCTCTCTCTCTCTCTCACTCACACACACACACATACTCTCTCTCTCACACACTCTCTCTCTCACACACACACACACCCTCTCTCTCTCTCCCTCTCTCACACACACACACACACACACACACTCTCTCTCTCTCTCACACACACACACACACACGCGCACACACACACACACACACACACACACACAGGACCGTGCATGCTCTGAGTGACATTTTTTATCAACCCGTTCACATTTTTGTATTCGCTATGGTGTATATCAAACCACCAAAGACTTTACACATTTTGTGTCAAAAGTACTATTATGCTTAAAGTTCTTTTTCTTATATTATACAATACTAGCTTGTTATAAGCCATGTAATTAAAGCTTGAAATTACAAGGTAATAGTCAGAAAATCATGGATCTTTTTTTAACCTTTAAATAACATTTAAAAGACAAAAAATAAAAAAAATCATGTTTTTTGTTTTGTCATTGATACACCAGGCTTTTATTGCCCATATAATGAGAATATGGAGGGGGAAAAGCAGCTCATTTTTATTCAGAAACCCAAACTGAGCGAAAATAGCAACTTGGTGCACTTTATTATTCATATGGCCAAAATATAAATTACTGTGATTTTTATAACAGTATTTATTACATTTTAACACAAATTTTCTAATGATTTTGATCATGTTGTAGAGATTTTTTGAAATTTGGTTCATGCTGATAATTTAGGGTCCTTAGAAATTCATGTATTAAATATAATAGTTTTATAGGGTTAAAAGGACAACACTTAATTTTCTCTTTTCATTTCTTTTAGTGTTCTCTTATTATAGATTACAGAGCCCAATGATTCAAAAAGGCAATATAAATGTTAGAACAATGTTGTCTGTGTGATGTTTTCACAGCAAAACACCACAAGAAATGCCTCAAATATTAACGCAAAATTTCAGAAAAATCAGTCACTGTAGGCCGCAAAAATTAGAAAAAAAATTCCCACAAAATCCTGGAGGGACTGTTAAATCATATTAATATTAACAGAAAATCTTGAACTGTAAGTAAATATATAAACATGGCTTGTTTAGTTTAACTTTAAGTACTAAACTAAAACAAAAAAATAAAATGATAACTATATAGATGTATTAAAAAAAATAACAAAAATGACAAAAACACAAAATTACTCAAACTTTAACTAAAATTAAAGTGAAATCAGAAAATATATTTAAAAAAACGAATGAAAAATTTTAACAAAAGACATAATAGTATATCAGTGAAATACAGTAGTCAACATTTGAAGTGGCTCAAAAAAGTTCATCAAAGTTGTCCTAAGACAAGAAGTTTTAGGACAACTTTGATGAAAGGTTTTGATCCACATCAAATGTTGACTAGTGTATATTATATCAATAACACTGCTCAAAATCCCTCTACTGAATCCATCAGCTATAAATCTTTACAGTATGTTAAAATACTGTTTATTCTAAGAGAGTTTTGTGTGTAAGCTACACTGTTTGTGTCACCTGTCTGAAACCGTCTGAGAAGTTGTTCTTGTAGTATCTGATCATAGAGTTCCAGCCGTCCATCAGCAAACCCCACTGCGTTCTCTTCCCTGTCCTGAACACACAGAGAACCGGTCATCTTTCACAACCCAACCGAACGCTCCTCTCAAACACAAGCGGAGCAGAAGACGCTCTGCTCACCGTGTGAAGTCGGTCTTCAGGGCTCCGGTCCCGGCGTACTGTTTGGCACAGGCGTTGGCGTTATCTGCCCATGCTGAGGGAATAACAGCTATGAATGAGAAAGTCTCACATAGCCACACTACTGAGTATCAGTGTTAGTGTTTGCTTACCGTTCTTGTATATTTTTTCAAAATCCGCCTGTTCTTCAATCCGCTGGCCCACATGAAGAACTCCTATCCTCTACAGATAAACAAGACATCCAATTTGAGTTAATTTCGGAATGAATCAGCTGTATGGACGGATTGAATGAGTCGATGATTCAGTGAGTCCATATAATATTGACTAATATTGACTGAATCATCTTTCGGAATGAATCAGCAGTTTGAACGGATCGAGTGAGTCGATGATTCAGTGACTGAATCATCTTTCGGAATGAATCAGCAGTTTGAACGGATCGAGTGAGTCGATGATTCAGTAACTGAATCATCTTTCGGAATAGAATAGCTTTTTATTATCGTTGTACAGCTGTACAACAGATTTTTTTTTTTTTTGAATCAGCAGTTGAATCATCTTTCGGAATGAAGCAGATGTTTGAACGGATCGAGTAAGTCGATGATTCAGTGACTGAATCATCTTTCGGAAAGAATCAGCAGTTTGAACAGGTCGAGTGAGTCAATGATTCAGTGATTTTCAGTTCTGCTGTATAATGGTTTAACTGACAATCACAATTATTTTGCTCAAAATTGTACTTTGTACGATTACCGATCATGATTGTTGCCATTTGAGAAATCACATCAGAATTATTGCACATATTAGCACAGACATGGTTTATTTGACCTCATTTAGTTATTAAATTATTAGAAATATAAACACACTTGCTACATTATGAAAACTGGCAAAACCCAAAAGTGAAAACAGTGGCATTCCCAATATTAATTTCAATAATCGTCAGTGCTTTTTCTGTAATGTGGAGAGAGCATGCAAATGGTTGCCAGGTTGTGAAGATAAATTAATCTCGTCTGACTCGTTCATAAAGACAGTCACTTGCTTCATTTCGAGATTTTGGTAAAGTTTTTTTTTTTTTTTAATACATTTTCGTCTCGTCTTTTATCGTCAATGAAATTGCATGTTGATGTAGTCACAGTTATCGTTTAGGGATGTAACGATTCACTCAACCGTACATGCAACATGAGCAGTTTTTGATCTAAATTAGATTGTATAATTTCTAAATTTTAAGCAAAAACAGAATGGTTTGACTTCAATTTTGTGAAGCTATGCATAAAAAATATCTGCATGAAACCAAAACAGCAGACGAGCTGAATGAGACGCAGATTCACTCTCTGCCAGCAGGTGGCGCTTAAAGCATTTCCTTGGTTTCTGCTGTAAACAAAGCAGCGCTGCACTTATGAACTTTAATATGCGTTATACAGAGGCAAGATGAAAAGAAAAAATACCATCTAAACACAGTAAGTTCCCCTCAGACATGCATTCATATAAACTCCTACACCGAAATGAATCGTGATTTGTTTAGCATCTCAACCGATTTGAATCGTCACATTTTTGAATCGATTTTCAACCGGCTCGCGGTTAATCGTTACATCCCTATTATCGTTTATTGACCTTATTGTCATCTCTTCATGGTCTCATTTTATTCATGGGGAAAAAGCTAGTCAACAAACATTTTTCGTCACAGTTTTCGTTAACGAAATCAACACCAACCCGAACTCATTCTGTATTTCCGCCACCATGTCCACCAGGATCTGCAGGCGATGCCACCTCATACGGCTGCACTCCTTGTGGAAGTCAAACGCAACGTACCTGCAGACGAACAGAGCCGTGGGTTTAGCTCTTGTGCTTCAGCATTAGCGTTTTATGAGATTTCCCAATCGGCTCACTCACTTGATCATGCCGTTGCCCAGACTGTCCACCATCTTCGCGAAGGCCTGTTCCAGCGGCTTTTCTGAACCTTTTTGATTCACCAGGTTCAAAATCACTTGCTTGCCGTATGTGATGATCTGAGAGTCGAAATGCCTCTGAAAACCATCCAGCTGTGAGAGGAGAGACAGCGTTACACAAATAAACACACAGAATAATGTCAGACTAACTAATATAAGTGCTATCTAACCAATTTTACAAATGCGACCCTGCAGCACAAAAGCAGTGTTAAGTCGCTGGGGGATATTTGCAGCAATAGCCAACAATACATTGTATGGGTCAAAATTATTGATTTTTCTTTTATGCCAAAAATCATTAGGATATTAAGTAAAGATCATGTTCCGTGAAGATATTTTGCAAATTTCCTACCGTAAATATATCAAAACTTAATTTTTGATTAGTAATATGCATTGCTAATAACTTCATTTGAACAACTTTAAAGATGATTTTCTCAATATTTTGATTTTTTTGCACCCTCAGATTCCAGATTTTCAAATAGTTGTATCTCGGCCAAATATTTTCATATCATAACAAACCATACATCAATGGAAAGCTTATTTATTTTCAGCTTTCAGATGGTGTATAAATCTCAAAATTAAAAAAAATTGACACTTATGACTGGTGTTGTGGTCCAGGGTCACAAATATTCTTGATACAAAATTTCTTATTTCATAATAGAATACAGATATCAACACATCTGAGATACTAGTGTTTAAAAGTCAATCAAACAATGCTCATTTTCATATCTAAATCTGTTAATGCATTCAAATGCATACACTGGTGGCCAAAAGTTTGAATTATTGGTATTTTTGCTCACCAAGGCTGCATTTATTTGATCAGAAATACAGAAAAAACAGTAAAAGTGTGAAATTTTATTATAAGTTAAAATAGCTTGTTTTCTATGTGAATCTCTGTTAAACTGTAATGTATTTCTGTGATGCGCAGCTGTATTTTCAGCATCATTACTCCAGTCTTCAGTGTCACATGATCTTCAGAAATCACTATAATATGCTGATGTGCTGCTCAAGAAACATTTCTGATTATGATTGTCAATGTTGAAAACAGTTTACGTACTGGAGTAATTTTTCGTCATTTTTGGCTTTTTTATTATCATTTCTTTGAAGTACTGAAGCAGATTTGTTCTAATATTAACATCTGAAAAACCAAATTAACATTGGTCTGCCAAATCTACCAACATTTTTTTTTTAGAGTCAAATCAAAACTTTAGTTGAAAACAAAGAAACATTTTCAGTACTTTACAACAAGGTTTAATTTGTTAACATTATATAACTGCACTAGATGAACTAACAATAAATAATACTTCAAGAGCATAAATTTTTTTTGTTAATATTATTTTCAACATTTGCTAATGCATTTTTAAAATCAAACATTCTCCACTTACATTACTTAATGCATTGTCATGTTCGTTTTCAATGAACAACTGTATTTATAACTAACATAAAAATGAATAATGCTGTAAATTGCTCACTGTTAGCTAATGTGTTAACTAACATACAAATGAGATCTCACCGTTACGTGTTACCAGATGTTTAAAACCACATCACACCATCATGAACATCCTTACTTGTCACTTACTCTTAAACAAAACAAAGAAATAAAGGTAAAGAAAGTGAATCTCACGTGATTGACGCTTTTGCTGATCTGCGGCTTTGGTTTGTACTTCAGGTTTGGTCTCTGAGACCAGTAGAACGGGATGGATCCTCGAGTCTGTGGAAGAGGATAATTCATTCGTTTATAACATGTCTTATTAGAAATGTTGGGATTAATGCACTTCAAAATGACATGAAAACTACCAATCCACATTCAGAATGGACGAAATCAAACAAAACAACAACATTCCAGTAGAACAATCTAAAAATGGACATTTAATTTTTACAGAAAGTCTCCTATCATTTAAAGATGCACAATTAACTGAAATAAAACTGAAATCACAATATGGTTTAGTTAAAAAAAACTGATTTAATTAAATAAATTTATGCACCGCATGTTTCATTAATATGAGAGCAGCTCATTATCCACCGGTATTTACATTATTTCATCTCCTTTTGAAAATAAAAATTACTGTTGGTTTACAATAATAGTTCCTTATTTGTTTTTATATAGTAATTTTTAAGTTCTTAATTGGTGTAGTAATAATAATAATAGTAGTAGTAGTAGTAGTAGTAGTAGTGTTAATAACAATTATTATTATTATTATTATTTATTTTACAGCCATATCGATTAGGGATGCAACCGAAATTATTCAGCCGAAAATGCGAAAAATCCGAATAAGCGAAATTACCGAATAAATTGTACCGAACAATTATTTGGATTGTACCGCCAAAATAAAAGTTGACAAAAAGCAAGAACTCATAAATTCATAAAATGTTAGTATTGTAATTTTACTGTTGTCCTGTAAAACAACATAAAAAGTAAGAATAATAATGATAATAATTACAACAGCTCTGTTAATACATTTATACATTCACACAGTGTTCAAATTGGGATCTGTAATATTTTCTAATGTTTTAAAAGAAGTCTCTTCTGCGCAGCAAGGCTGCTTTTAATTTTACAGTAAAAAAAAATTCATGCCTGATTCAAGAAGGGGGTCTGATCGCCCAAAAATATTATTTTAGTAACTTACAAATTTTAAGTTAAATTGTGCTTTGTTGGTATAATGTCTGCTAGAATGTAACATTTTTTTTTAGTGTTAAATATTTTTAAAGTGTTGTTTTGTAATTGATTTTTTCTTTGAAAAACAAGATGAAACAGTAAAAAGCACATTTTGGCTATTTAATTAATGCAATGGGGAAAAAAATGGTCAAAATACATGGGGAAAAAAACTTTAAAAACCATGTTTGGTATTCAGCCAAGGATTTTCATTTCGGTGCATCCCTAATATTGATATATAAATCACAATATTTTGGCCAAATTGTGAAGCCCTACAAACAAGCACAGCGAACTTTGAACTGCATTTTAATCAAAATTTAATTTCACAATCACAAAAATCACGATTAGTTTTTTTCCCCAAATCATTCAGGGTGCCGACCATGTTTTTTTTGTTACTGGATAGAAATGGTAAAGCCACCCTATGCCATTTTTATAGGATAGTTTAATTAAAAAAATTTTTTTAAACATTTGTTTTGATTATCAATCAGGCTGGTTTTGTTTTAGACACCTGGCAACCCTGATCTGAGCAGTTTTTATTATGTTAGACTTGAATCGCATTTGTCAAGCAATATCTAAATATATATATATATATATATATATATATATATATACACACACACACACATACCATTTGTGACCCTGGACCACAAAACCAGTCTTAAGTGTCAATTTTTCAAAATTGAGATTTATACATCATCTGAAAGTATGTTCATCATCTGAAATATTTGGCCGAGATGCAACTATTTGAAAATCTGGAATCTGAGGGTGCAAAAAAATCCAAATATTGAGAAAATCATCTTTAAAGTTGTCCAAATGAAGTTCTTAGCAATGCATATTACTAATCAAAAATTACGTTTTAATATATTTACGGTAGGAAATTTGCTAAATATCTTTATGGAACATGATCTTTACTTAATATCCTAATGATTTTTGGCATAAAAGAAAAATGGATAATTTTGACCCATACAGTGTATTGTTGGCTATTGCTACAAATATCCCCCAGCGACTTAACACTGCTTTTGTGCTGCAGAGTCACGTATATCTTTTCTGTATGTGGTAATATATATGGGGAATATTCTTCACATTAAGCCACCAAAATAAATAGGAACAAAATCATGATTTTCATGTTCTGGCGGTTTCCTTGTCTAGCATATCACCCCTTTATTGACAAAAACTGGATGATTTACTGGTTGAAACCTCGGAGACTGGAAAGTTTCATATTGGCAGAAATGTGAAAAATTTAATTCCTGAAGAATTATTTTTTTTAATGCAACATAAATACATCTCTGAGGCCTGTTTAATAAAAAAAAAACAAATCTACATTAAAACCACAAAACCCATGTTAAATCCACAAAAGTGTGACTTCTTCAGAACATTGTTCTAGTGAAGTTTGCTTGATTTATTTAACAAACTAACCTATAAAAGGGCGAATCTCACAAAACCCATCAAGAACATGGTCACACCCTAAAATCATTCAAATGAGGAACAAAATCATAATTTTCATGTTTTGGCGGTTTCCTTGTATAATCACCCCTTTATTGGTTGATTTACTGGTTTAAACATCAGAAAGCAGACTGGAAAATTCTCGTATTGGTAAAACAAAGTAATCCCTCAACAAACGGCTCAGCATATGAGCATAAAAACTGATATTACCATTTCAGAGGCTTACCTGAACAAATGAGGCTTTTGCTCCATTATACTGAACAATCTGCTCCGTCTCAACAAAGTTGGCCGCATGACCTTCAGAGTCAATACCTGGAAGAGAAAGAGAGCGTTTAGCAGCGTATGGAGAAAAGACAGGCACCGTCTCAAAGCATACGAGCTTCACCTCTGATGTAGTAGCGGACGCCAGCGCGGAAACAGCTCCTCCTAGAAATGATGTTCCAGTCGAAGATTTTGCCGTTGATGCAGCACGACTTCATGGTGATGACTGAGAGCGGAGATTAAGGACTGTGACGTGTGGAAGAGGAAGTCAATGCATGTATGAAAACTAGGGCTGTCAGTCGATTAACATTTTTAATCGAATTAATTACATGATGTGTCGATTAATTAAACGCTAATTACATTTGGCTGTGAAAATACCCCCAAAAGATTATTTAAAGCTATTTTTGTGTTAAATGAGAAAGTATCAAGTAGACGTTACAAATAGTAGCTTTAGAAAGAAAAGTTTAGGCTACAACATAAACTATGGAACATAAAAGAAGATGATTTGAGAAACATCTCAGATTTTTTTCGTTCATGCAGTGGAAGTCATTGGTAACCAAAACAGCTTTGTTACCAAAAGTCTTCAAAATACCTTATTTTAATGTTCCACAAAAGAAAGCAAGTCATTCAGGTTTTGAGTAAATGATGACAATTTAAATTTTTTGGGGGACTATTCCTTTAAAGTTTGTTTTTAATTGTTTTAATAAAATAAAAAAATGTACTTATGAGTCATTCATTCGTTTGATTCGTTCAAACGGCTGATTCATTCAGGAATGAAGTAAACGGCTCTGTTTATGAATGGGTCTTTGAATCATTGAGTCACACGATTAGTTCAAAACGGCGGATTCATTCAGAAACTGAACACCGCTGTGTTGCTCGGAGATGCGCAACAATTCTCCTGTGGCTTTAAAGGTAATATTACACATACAGTAAACATACACAAAACTGTAAAAGGGACAGTACACCCAAAAATTTAAATTCTGTCATCATTTACTCACCCTCATGTCGTTCCAAACCTGTATGAGTTTCTTTCTTCTGTTAAACACAAAAGGATGGATGGGTAGAGGGAAGGAAGGACATGAGGGTAAATAGTGACAGTATTTTCATTTTTGGGTGTACTATCGCTTTAAGGCTCAAAACATACTGTAAATTGGAGCTGCACGATTCTAAAATAAATTGGGAATCACGATTTTTTTGTAGGGGTGCTCCGATCAGGATTTTTGAGGCCGATCACCGATCACAGAAACCAGTATCTGCCGATACCGATCTTTTTAAAGCCTTCTTTATATAATTTATAACTATTTATAGTGATACTCCAATCAGGATTTTTAAACATTTATTCAGGGCTTGAATTTCATTTTTGAAAATGGGGGGAATTTCCCTCTTAGGTGACTCTTGTGAGAGAAGCATCTTTCACACAGGAGTCCGCTACTGATCCGTGGCTGTTTACCACAAACACAACATTTATCCATTATTTTGATTTCAAATCCAAACATTGTCACTGAAAATGCCTTTTCAGCATTGCAATTCTTTTTTTACACAGTACAGTAATACAATCTTTCACAGTCATGTTTAAACAATAAATATAAGCAACACATTATTCAATACTTTTAACTTACTACTTACTTACTACTTTTCTTACATTATCACAAACTTACCATTGATAGAAATCGTCAGCTCTACTGCCTTTCCTTTTGCATTGAAATCTTTATTACAAGCAATCCTGCGGTTCATAAAGAACTTTGTTTTCCTACCTCCACGAGTGCCATCTATTATTGCCTTGTTTATCTAAAAGTGATCTTTTCCTTTAAACCTAGCCAACTGTGACTGTGAAACACAGTAGACTTTAATAATATGCATTTATGGTGTAATTACTACATTTTCGTGTCAATCCACGTTCATATTTACTGCAAACAATGTGCTTTTACTTTAATTCAGCGCTTGCAGCAAACATAGACTCGGTGCGGAAACGATCTCTGCACTGCTACAGACGCACCACTCCTGAACGCACTGCTGGACCGCAACGGTGTGCAGTGTGCACGCTTTAATCCGTTAACATGAGCGCGGAAAAAATACGCACCACATTCGCACTGCAAACGGAGTAATGTGAACCTGGCATTATGTGTGTGCGCTCCGAGTTTGCATCAGGAGAGCACGCGGGCACTGAATGGTTAAACACTGGCAAGAATTAAAAAGTAATGCAATTTATAAACTTTAGTGACGATGTGACACTGCCTCGATTGTGCAAGTGACTATTCCTGTGTCAACTGTGCAGCGTGCAGCTCGCTTATAGACAGACGCGATGTGGTGATTTTAAGACATTTGCGTATTTTGAGAGAGAGCGCGCATGGTGACTCACTCACGCGGTTTGTGAAATTACGTCTCACACAAGGTTTTCAAATTACTTTACAAGTTATTTAATGAAGAAATATGAAGGGGAGTACCTCACCTTCAGCATTATAATTATTTCACCCGCGCCGGACAGAAACTGAGATGGTGCCGCTGCATGTCGTGCCAGACCTCTCACAGCAGCGTCATCAGTTTGAGATCGGCCTTTTTAGAGACCGCCGATTAAACATCCAAAAGCGAATATCAGCCAATCAATCGGAGCACCCCTAATTTTTTGTCTCAAATACAGATCACGATTCTGAACTAAACCAAATAATGTGTGATTTACTAGAGGCTGCGACAAAATATTAATTGCTGCAGTCCATTTAAAAGTGTTATTAATTCATTTTCATGAATTATTACAAATTTAAATATATATTTAATAAGACAATTTTTTTATATTAAAATTATGAAAAATAGGTTTGAATGAATGATTCAATGACTCACTCATAAATACTTCACTTGTTTCACTACTGGATGAATCAGTTTTTGAACGAATCTCTTGAATGAATGATTCAATGACAAATACATTTTTTAACAGTCACTTGTCGCCACCTAGTGGAGAAACAATGCAATCGACAACATTATTTAAAGCGCCAGTTACTTTCAAAGGTAATTTGCTCTATAGACATCAATATTTATATCCAAACTATAAACTTTGGATATATATTTCTGTAATAACAGGAATGACTGTAAGACAGAAATAATACAGTGTGGTTGAAAAGACTGCTGTTTCTTACCTAAACATTATAACTGCGATCTTTTACATTTACATTTAGTCATCTAACAGATGCATTTATCCAAAGCGACTTACAAATGAGGACAATGGAAGCAATCAAAATCAACAAAAGAGCAATGATATGCAAGTGCTATAACAAGTCTCAGATAGCTTAACGCAGTACACTTTGAACTTTTAATCTTTTAATGATTAATCGTGCAGCTCTACTGTACCCTATCTCACACATCATTGTGGTCTGATCTCTGAAAATGCTCATCTGGTTAAAGGATACAGCCGTGAATAACAGGGTAGACGAATTTGTGCAGCTGTAATAGAAAACACAACGTCAGAACCGGAGCACAGTCATGAACTCGTTCCTTCTTTAGATTTCTCTACATAAAATCAGGCCTAGAAACTTGTGCAGATTTCTACACGTTTTTCCAAAAATGGGTTAGCCTTGAAACAGCAGCTGCAGCTAAAACAATCTTGCGTTTACCTCAGGCTGTGCCATGAATTCTCTGAGCAGATGACCGTTCCACACGAATCTCTGATCCGCCTGCATAAAACCATCATATCAAGCTATAATAATTCCATACTTTGTGAGAATACACAATTCTAAAGGGGTCAAAAATAAAAACATTAAATTTCATGATTTTTTTCCCCCTTCTACAGTCTCTCTTTTAATGTTTGAATCAGTCAATGCGGTAGGGATTATTGATTTTATTGGATTTTTAATTTATGTTCATTTATTTATTTATTCAGTGACTATTCAGATGGATGTACTGTAAATTTCATACTTTTTAAGGACAAATTAAATAAATAATGTTTTTTAGCTGTCAATGTCTTGTATTAGAAACACTTCAGAGTTTGAAAAATGACTCTTTCAAATTATCTCCTTTAATTTTTAATTAATTTGACAAAAAACTAAATAAATAAAAAGCTTATGGCTTGAATACATCTGCTCGCAACCACTAAAATATGAAAATATTTGGCAAAAAGTGATTTTTTTAAATCAGTGTTTTTGTCTTGTTTCAAACGTGTAAAGAATCTTAAATCAAGATGCATTTACTTGAGAAGCAAATGACAAAATCTAATTTATAATATAATTTTTAATGAGAAATTGATCACAATGAAGTGAGCTCATGATTAAAACAAGAACAATCTGTCAATGGGTTCAGAAAAACTCCTTTCATTCAACAGGTAAACAAACTTATATACCCCACTGACAGATACTTGTTCTTGTTTTAAGCGTAACGCAAAGTAAGGGATTAATCTGAATTTTTCTGCATTTTAACTATAGAGTCATTCCGTGTCAAATCAAACAAATATTCCTGGTTAAAATTTTTGATTTTGCTAATATTGTTTCTGAAGAAAGATAAACATGTATAGTGATGAAAGCCAAAATATTAAAAGCCATGTATGAATATTTACGGAGTAATCCAAATGGCAATTTTCACCTGCGATATTTAGGGCCAAATTACAGGAGGGAAAAAATGACTTCAGAAAGATGGCAGCATCACGATGTTATTTTTACACAGAGATTAGCAGGTCTATTAGTAAAATCTGTTGACTTTGGCAATCTTTGTTGCATTGTGCACCAATGGTGACCATTCAAAAATGGGGAAACAGCACTTTTAAAGTTTTTTCTCCAATGTTTGCATGCCTGTAACTCAAGAAGTATTGAAGATATCTTAACGCCCTTTTAGATATTGGGTCTAAACAAACTTACCTTTTGGCATCTTCAGTTAATATTCATGCATGGCTTTTAAAATTTAGTTTAATCCCTATACATATCTGTCCTTTTTCAGAAAAAAATATTAGAGATGACTAGTCACGTCTGATGCAGTTGCATTAAACACTGTATTCAGAACAATAAAACAGAGGATTTAACATCAAAATTGTTTCTCCCTTTAAATACTTATCAGGTCATGAATAACGTATGCAATTTTACATGATTTATTTGAAAGAATTAACAGCAGTTTCATGTCTATCCTTATACTGTTCAACTGGTAAAGGTTGATATGAAATTTAGAAAGTAATTAGTAATAATGCAATACTTTTTACAGAGAGTAATAATTAGAGTAATGTAATTACACTGATGAAGGTGTAGTTAGTAGCAAGTAATTACTTTTTTCTTTCTTTTTTTTTTTTAAGAGTAAGGTACTTGAAAAACAATGTTCAAATATTTCTCTAGGGACGTTTGGTTGATTTATTTGACAAACTAAAACTTCAAAAGGGGCGAATCTCACAAAATCTTTCAAAAACATGGTCACGTCTCAGCCTAAAATCATTAAAATATTTCTAAAAACTATTTTGCTTAAAGAAAAGGGAGCATGTTTAAGGAACCTATATTCCATTTTATTTCTATAATTATTTGGGTAAAATGTGACCTTTTGTGATTTTTTTTGCCAATCAGAATACATACATTTCCAGCTAAACAGAAATATCTCTGCTCAAAATTCATTTTGAGGCATTCAGTGGTTCAACGTTGCGGTTTGGTTGTGTTTGGGTCAATCTGACCCGGAGAAGATTTTCTTTTTCCCGAAAATACTAGTTAATGTTATTGCATTGGACTCAAACTTACTGACTTTGTTTACACAGGGTATAAGTACTTCTCAGAAATTTGGGGGGAATTTTCATAATTTTTTGTGGGTTTTATTTCACCATGTCACACTTGTGGTGTTCCCGGTCAAAAACGACCGGCCTCCAAACAATTGCTTATAAATCTCTCATTATGCTATATTATCACCAAATATTGGATTCAATCTTTTTATTAACTTGTTTCATTTATAAGCAATTGTTTGGAGGCTGGTCATTTTTGACCGGGAACACCACGAGTGTTAGAGGAATCCGAACACAACCAGAGGGTTAAAGGTGCAATAGAATGCATTGATACAATATTATAAATTGTTCTCTGATATCTACATAGAAGGTATGTGGCTTAGGTAAGGGCAAAAACATCTCCAGCAACGGTTTTACATGTCCATTTATAACCCTAGGATTTGTCCCTAGAATGAAATGGTCTGTTTTTACTTTATTTGGAAGGCTCATGAATAATAATGTTGAGCTCTGCTCTGATTGGCTGTTTCACAGCGCGGCTCAATGTTGAGCACTGCTCTGATTGGCTGTTTCACAGCGCGGCTCAATGTTGAGCACTGCTCTGATTGGCTGTTTCACAGCGCGGCTCAATGTTGAGCACTGCTCTGATTGGCTGTTTCACAGCGCGGCTCAATGTTGAGCACTGCTCTGATTGGCTGTTTCACAGCGCGGCTCAATGTTGAGCACTGCTCTGATTGGCTGTTTCACAGTGCGGCCCAATGTTGAGCTCTGCTCTGATTGGCTGTTTCACAGCGCGGCTCAATGTTGAGCACTGCTCTGATTGGCTGTTTCACAGTGCGGCCCAATGTTGAGCTCTGCTCTGATTGGCTGTTTCACAGCGC